TTGGGCCCAGAGTTCACTGCAGTGATCACAGTAGGGTTACTCTTGAAAAGAAAAAGAATACTGCTACGGCTTTTCTTTCTAAGAAAATACGAGTAAGGAGGACTAGTGAAGTTTCTCCCATGCTTGAAAATTGGGATGATGATGTCATCAAAGAAGGAGGAAAGGATTGCTTCTAGGAACTAATGCATGTAAAACAAGTGGATAGGCATCCATATGCATCTGTTGGCCCTCATTGAGATCGTATTTGTAGTGAAATCGCTCTAAAGAGAAGGCATTCCATCAATGTTTCTTCTCTTGGGGGTGTTTTGAATACTACTCACATTACTTCTTCTTTTCTGATAGGTGTTCTAGTACAACTTGCAATGTTTCTTTTTCTCTTGGGTGTTCCAAATATAACTCACACTACTTCTCTTGGATGCATTCTAAATACAAATTGCAATATTTCTTATTTCCATGTGTTGTCTGTTCCAGTGATAAGTCATAGACTTAATGCCTCTCACACTCATTTGGAAGACTTTCATGACATTTTAGTCTTGCTATGACACTTGGAGATTTTAGAGCATATAAATAGCTTTAGTGAAAGATCAAAAGATGGACTTGCAAAGAAAATTAAACAATCTTTCCAATTTTGAGAATGATAGATCTTTTTTTACTCTGAATTTCTTGTTCTTGTTCTTCTTTTGTATACTTGTTTTTTATAGTAAACACTTACTTTGCTTTCATCATGGTTTTATTTCTTCACTTGTAAACTAAGATACTCTGTTTCATATTTCATTATTTACAAACATATGAATGTTTCACATGTATCACTATGTACTGCCAAAAAAAGATTCTCAACTTTACAAAAAAAAAGAATAATCCTTAACTTAGTATGAAGGAGAATAACGCATCCTTTATATGAGCATATAAGTTGCAACCTATTTATGAATAGCAAGCTATGGCCAAGAAGTGAGTGATAAAGCTGACAGCCAATAGCATAATATCATTACAGCCAAATTATGAGCGTTAAAGCTTGTGGCCAAAATATGATTATGAATTATATGGTCAAAGAATTAGCGATAAAGCTTACGATTAATGCAACAATAACGTCATCGTTAAAGTAAGAGCGATAAAACTTGCGGTTGAAATATAAGTGATGAATTATATAGTCAAAGAATGAGTGATAAAGCCTACGACCAAGTGCAACAATAACATTACAGCCAAAGTAAGAGTGATAGAGCTTACAGCTCAAAAATGACTTTTCTCTTTTACAAATATCGAATTTTAAATACATAAAACAATCAGTAGTAGAAATCATAGACATATCATGGATGAGCAAGTAACAGGTTATTCTAGATCCTATTGTTTCCAACCATTATTTCTCCTAATTGCACTTTCTTATAAAATATTTTGGGTAAATCTTTACATTTAGCAACTGAATGACTAATTGTACGGTGATAGTCACAATACCTTGGATTAGACTTTTCTTTTGCTGTTGGTGGTTGTGAAACATAGGGTAAGTTCACTTGTCCATCATTTATCCATTCATGGAGAAACATTCTCACTCTATCTAGTGAGATAGAGCATAGTGGTGAAGAATAAATCTCATCTTCTTGTCTTCTTCTTAGATTGTCTCTTCTAAGACAAAGAAGAGGTCGATGGTTTCTTCTTTCTTTGCTTTTTCCCTGAATTGCATTTATTGTTGGGGTATTTCTCCTCTCAAAACGACTAGCTCTCTATTGCCTAAGAATCGTATTATTGATCTGTCATGTAGCTTTGACTAAAGTGGGAAAAGTATAGAAAGGTAAGTTTTCCAAATAAACCCTATATTCATCGAACATACTTTGGATGCAAACTTTGACTAACTCTTTCTTATCATGAGAATCTTGTATGTCCAGCATCCTTTCTTTGAAGCATTGGATGTATTCCATGAGATCTTCCTTTAAATTCTAGTGCTTTCTTCTCAAGTCAATAAGAGTTACTTTTTTTGGGCAAAGAAGAACTTTTTCCCAAACATCCTACACATTTAGACCCAAGATTGTACAAAACCAAGAGTAAAATTGACATACCAGATGTAGGCCTTTTCGATAAAAAACTTGGATAATTCTTCTAACTTCAAATCATCATCCAATCCGGCTACTTCAAAGGTCTCCACAAACTTCATGATATGTTCTCGAGCATCACCAATTTTGTCATTAAATTACTTAAATTTTGGACTAGTGTGATCCTTAGGATATGGCTTGGCAGCTATGTTGGCAAAATAGGGCAACTTAAGATTAAACTCTGAAAAGTTGAGACTCTTATTCTTTTGATCAAGTAACTTTTCAAGCTCTTCCTTTATGACAAAGCTCTAAATAAAATTTAAAGGAGTTTCTGTAATGAAATTGCCAATAATAAAGGGATTAATGGTATTGAGGAGTGAGTCAATCATGCTCTCTCCATTTCATCCATTTCCATACGTATTATTGACTATGTTAATGGCATTTTTGACATTATGGGTTGACATTGGTTAAAGTTGAGACCTTGTGGCGATTAAGGATGCAAACCGGGTGATGGTCTCCATCATCCGTTTGTTGTTTTCCTCCAACACTTGCATCCTTTCTTGGGAAGCTTGGAGCATTTTCATGAGCTCCTAGACATAAGTGAGGATGGTTGTTTCTTGGTTGTTGGGAAAACTCTCCATATCTTTTGACAAGAAATTTTTCGACAATTTTTTCACTTACTACAATCATGCTCCCCTGTGGAGTCACCAAAAATAAAATGTAAAGGGTTCTTTTGATAGGGAGATAGGACATGTTGTAATAAGTGAAGTGAAATGCACTAAAGGTGGCAAAGAGGAAGATTGAAGCAATCCTTGAAGCATAAGTGTTTTGGTGGCAAGCAGTGAAGAATAAGAAAAAGTGGAGAAAGCAACGGAGTACAGTGGATGGGAAAAGCTTAGTATAGAGAATAGTTGGAAGAGTTTTGAGAGAATTTTGAAGATAATCTATATTGAGTTTCTAATAATTTCTCCCCCTCTTTTCTTCTCAACCTCTAAAACTCTCATATTTATACTAAACAAGAGCACATTCTTTGGAGTAGTTAGGGAGAACACATTCAATCATGAGATTGTGCTTGTCATGGAAAAGCAGTTAAAGAACGATTTATGAGATATTAAAGAATGACCATGTAGTTGGGTAGTGGGTGTATGTTTTGGATAATGGAGTGGTGGCACTTGATAGTGCGTCATGTGTATTCTTAAGAAAGAAAGAAAGAAAAAAGGATAAAGCACATGTACTTCAAGGAAAAGTTAAGAGGAAGTTCTCTTAACTATTTCCATATCTAAGCCACCAAGCCAAGCTCTTTATAATATTCCAAATATAAACATTACTCGTGAACCTTGCCACTCATTCTGAATTACTTTCACTTCCTTGTATAAATAGCTTTTTCATAATTATTCTTGGGCACTTCTGCACTTGGAACACCCCTAACACTTCTGCACTTGAAACATCTTGGGTGCTTCCATACTTGGAACGACTCGAAATGCTTCTACACTCAAAACACCCCTAATATAATTTTTTTGTAACACAATACTTCAAAAATAATAATTAAACAAACTTAGACATCTATAACTAATAATGTAAACAGTTAAACGGTTTAAGAAGTTTATTCCTAGCATAAAACTATAAGTTAGCACAAAAAGATTAATTTTAAGTAAAACTCATTTTGGAAAAGACGATTCATTCATTCAAAAGTGTGCAATGAGATTAATATGAAATTTGATTTTCTAATATTAAGAATTTTAAAAGTTAAAATTCATTTTCTTTTTCCGTTTTCTCTCAGTTTCGCTCCTCCAACAGTTCAATTACCTTCCTTTATCCGATAAGTTCTTTAGGGTTTCGGTTTTGTTTTTCTTAGATTAATTTTGAGTAAAACTTATTTTGGAAAAGAAGATTCATTCATTCAAAAGTGTGTAATGAGATTAATATAAAATTTGATTTTTTAATATTAAGTATTTTAAAAGTTAAAATTCATTTTCTTTTCTTTTTGGTTTTCTCTCAATGTCGCTCCACCAACAGCTCAATTGCTTCCTTTTTTTTCGATAGGTTTTCTAGGGTTTTGCTTTTGTTTTTCCTTCTTTATCTGTTTTTATTTTGCAATTTATTGATTGTTGGTTTTTTATTTCCATTCTCGTTTTGTTTTGTCTGCATCTTAAGGTTTCTTAATTTTGATTTTAAGGTTTTATTTATTTTGATCTCTGTTTTAGTTCTCAATAGAGAAAAATTCGCTGGCTCTTGAATTTCGGTTTCATTCTACTAATGTTTAGCCTCTTAAATACTATCTGGCGAGGAAAGTTTGGGGAAGAAGTTTCGTTTTGAAGCTATCACCGAGCTCGACCTATATAAGTATGCTCCTTCGTAGGACTGGGTATCTCAAGTGGTAATTTTCTGTCCAACGGAGAAGAAATATGCAAAAGGGTGTACGATCAATTACAGACCTAAGCAACAGAATGATTTCCATTCAAGTGTATATATAGTGTGGGAAGTTGCAATTAAGCCTAGGTTGCGACCCTGTAGTGCAAGGCAAAGAGAGGAAGCGGAACTTTTCTGCGTAGAAAAATGAATAAAAAATCGAGAGTATGAAAAAGAATCACTAGAACAAATGTGAAGCAAAAAGAATATCATAAAGAAAGAAGAAAGAGAGGAAAGGAGTTACTTGCAAGAAGCTGCCAGGGGTTTGCCAAGTGGCTATAGAACAAATGCAGCTGTCACTTCCTACCAACATTCTTCTAGTGAATATTTTATTCAATTGATCAAAAATATTTATTTAGATTATAAAGTGATCAATGATAAATTTTATCAATATATATTAATTTAAAGTAATTCAGAATGTGGAAGGCTTACTTTGCCTCTGAGTGGTAAGATTGGGCTGTTTGTCTGGTTTTACCGTCTTGTGGGCAAGGTGGGATTGGGCTTGGTCTAGCCCTCCAAATCCCTAACCAATCATCTCAATACTGAAAAGACTGGATAACTAACCTAGTACCAACGGTCAAAAATCCCGCCAAAGCATGATAGTAACTAATGATTTTGCATGGCACTTAAAATCTCTCACTTTCACTTCCCAAAACTCCTTTTTTCTTGTTCCTCATCAGGCAAACATTTCTTCGAATCTCTATCTGTTTCTCTAATGAAAAACCGACCAATACCCAGAAAGAAGAAAACATTTTCCCACATTTTCCAAGAATGTTCGAACCAAACATCCTTAAACCCAGGCAAACAAGCCCATTGTCAAATGATAATATCTGGGTTTATCCCAACAATCTTTGTTGCCAATTGTTTGATCCAACTGTACATAAAATGTGGGAATTTGGGGTACGCTAATAAAGTGTTTGATAGAATGTCTCAGCGAGACGTTGTGTCGTGGAATGCGTTGATTTTTGGGTTTGCTAGTAATGGGATGATGGGGATTGCGAACAGCTATTTTGATGAAATGCCTGAAAAGGATGTTGTTTCATGGAATTCGTTGATTTCAGGGTACCTGAAGAATGGTGAGGGTTTGAAGGCTATTAAGGTTTTTGTGGAAATGGGGAGAATGGGAGTTCAGTTTGATTGGACGAGTTTTGCTGTTGTTTTGAAAGCTTGTGCTCTTTTGGAAGAGTTTTATGTGGGGGTACAAGTTCATGGTATCGCTGTTAAAGTTGGTTTTGATAAAGATGTGGTTACAGGTAGCGCTTTAGTGGATATGTATGGAAAATGTTGGAGGTTAGATGATTCAATTAGGTTCTTTTATCAAATGCCTGAGAAGAATTGGGTTTCTTGGAGTGCTGCAATCTCGGGTTGTGTTCAAAATGATAAGTTTGTTAAGAGTGTGGAATTGTTCAAGGAAATGCAAAGGGAAGGAATTGTGGTTAACCAATCTGCTTATGCTAGTGTTTTCAGGTCATGTGCTGGGTTGTCTGCATTTAGGTTAGGTAGACAGCTCCATGGTCATGCCTTGAAGAGTAATTTTGGATTGGATTTGATTGTAGGAACAGCAATTCTGGATATGTATGCAAAATGTGGTAGTATGACTGATGCTCAAAAGTTATTTAACTTGTTTCCAATTCGCAATTTGCAATCTTTTAATGCCATTATTATTGGTTATGCCCGATGTGATCGGGGCTTCCAAGCTTTGCATTTATTCCAACTTCTGCTCAAGTCTGATCTTGGTTTTGATGAAATAAGTTTGTCCGGAGCATTTAGTGCTTGTGCAGTAATTAAAGGGTCTGTGGAGGGTGTTCAAGTACATGCCTTAGCAGTCAAAAGTACTTTTGAGTCAAATATTTGTGTGGCCAACGCTATTCTTGACATGTACAGTAAGTGTGGAGCTTTGGCTGAAGCATGTCATGTTTTTCATGAAATGGAGAGAAGGGATGCTATTTCTTGGAATGCAATTATTGCAGCGAATGAACAGAATGGAAATGAAGAGGAAACACTCTCTCATTTTGTTTCCATGCTACATTCTGGGATGGAGCCCGATGAGTTCACTTATGGCAGTGTCTTAAAAGCTTGTTCTGGTCAGCAAGCCTTGAATTATGGCATGGAGATCCATAATAGAATCATCAAATCTGGAATGGGGTTGCATTCATTTGTAGGAAGTGCTCTTGTTGATATGTACTCCAAGTGTGGGATGATGGAAGAGGCCGAAAAGATCCATGACAGAATAGAGCAACAGACGATGGTTGGTTGGAATGCAATCATTTCTGGATTTTCACTGCAAAAAGAAAGTGAAGAAGCTCAGAATTTTTTCTCTCGAATGTTGGAGATGGGTGTAAAGCCAGATCACTTCACTTACGCCACAGTTCTTGATACCTGTGCTAATTTGGCTACAGTTGGAATTGGTAAACAAATTCATGCTCAAATTATCAAGCTAGAATTGCAGTCAGATGTGTACATATGCAGCACCCTTGTCGATATGTACTCAAAATGTGGAAACATGCATGATTCCAAGCTAATGTTTGAGAAAGCAACTAATCGGGATTTTGTAACTTGGAATGCCATGATTTGTGGGTATGCCCAACATGGTCTCGGAGAAGAAGCCCTTAAAGTTTTTGAGGATATGATACTTGAGAATGTAACGCCTAACCATGCAACATTTGTTTCAGTCCTTCGAGCATGTGCACATGTAGGGCTGGTAGAAAAGGGATTGCATTATTTTGGCTTGATGTCAAGTAACTATGGTTTAGCTCCTCAGTTGGAGCACTATTCCTGTATGGTGGATATAATGGGCAGGGCAGGCCAAGTTAGTGAGGCATTAAAGCTTATAAACGATATGCCCTTTGAACCAGATGATGTTATTTGGAGAACTCTGCTTAGCATTTGCAAAATCCATAGCAATGTAGAGGTGGCAGAAAAAGTGGCCAATTCTCTTTTGCAATTGGACCCACAAGATTCGTCAGCTTATATTCTTCTATCGAATATATATGCTGATGCCGGAATGTGGGACAAGGTTTCAGATATGAGGAAGATAATGAGGTATAATAAGCTGAAGAAGGAACCTGGTTGTAGCTGGATTGAAGTAAAGGATGAGGTTCATGCATTCCTTGTTGGGGACAAGGCTCATCCAAGATGCAAAGAGATATATGAGAAGCTTGGTATATTAGTTGATGAGATGAGATGCTACGTGGCTGATATAGATTTTTTCCTTGAAGAAGAGGCAAACCAACTAAAGGAGCAAGAAGAGCTGAAAATCAGCTTGTGTAGTTTGTAATTTTATTTAATGCCGCGGAGGCAAATGGAAAAAATTGAATAATCAATTCATTCTAGTAGTATGTTATTAAGTTAGATGACAAATATTGCCTACAGAGAAATTTGCCTCTTCTGACACAGCGGCCTGCAAGTATACAGTGGTGCTGAAAGATCTAGTATTGCAAGACCAATAGGGTAAACGCTGGCTACCAAAAAGCCCACTTCAAGTTCACACCAAAATTCATCTGCCACTAGCATTCCCTAGGTGATGCTTCAAACATTAGTCAAACTATTTGGGAGTTGAAAATGCTGAAGAGTAATAATTTTAAAGTTCCAACTTTTTTTGTAATGATCGAATCACCATCTCAGTAATATGCTTTATAAGCTGATCTACGTAGAAGCAATGATTAAAAAAAATCAAGTTTCAAATTTTAAAGAATGAAGAAAGAGATTTACACCTGCAAATGAATTTACCATGATTACCAAGTTCAAATTAAAGCCAAGAATCCTTCAATCTACAGATCAGCACAACATTGCCATTAAATCTATAATTTTCCAGGAAGTTAACAGAGCTGTTGCCTGTCTTAACAGAGCTGATGCATTATAAGTCATGAAAAACTAGACCCTACAACTGCAGCAAAAATTCATATGTATTCAAAGATCTTCATGGCATTAGCTTTCCCGTAGTATCACCCACTCAAAAATTGAATTTCAAGATCATGCATATTTTGCAAAAAGATCCAAGGAAAATTTAAGTGGAAGAGATTTTGAGAATTCATACCAGTTTAGCTAGGTGGAGTTCACATTCCTAATTTCCAACAGAATCTCTATAGGAAAGAAAATGCACAGAAACCTTGTCAAGATCAAATGATAGGAGGAAGGAATGCTTACGTCATCACTAAAGGCGGGCATTAGCGGCCGCTGAAATTAACAGGATGAGCAATGCCAAGGAAACATGGTTGAAGTTAAACAATCTGGCATCTATTCTCGAACTCAGATGTGGCATCTGCAGGCTTCACTTCAGATTCAACAACAGATTCAGTAGTCTTGTCCAGCTGTGAGTAACAATCACACCAACAATATTAGAACAATGTTTCCTTTCTAGCAATTGCCCAAATTAGAAATCTTTGGAAAACACAGTACAGGCAAGGGAAACAAATGGAAAGGAAACATACAAGAAAGAAAAGGAATACGTTGTTGCAGGACCACCACCCAAGGATTTTAGAACCTACCTAACGTAAAAGTTTTAGAAAAATAGGACTTTACACTAGGGTTTTAGGTGGTCTTTACAAATTTGTTATTTGAAATGAAGAGTATAGCAATCAGTTTCTGGATTTTTAAGAATTGAAATGAAGACCATAGTCAATCAGTTTTTGGAGTATTAAGAATCAAATATAGGCTTGGAACCTTTCCCTCTTGTTCTAGCTTTCCTAATCCTTGTCTTTTCCACTCCTTTTGCTCTCTTTTTGTATTTTCTATTGGTGGAAGTACCCAACAAAGTGTTCTTATTAATTTAATCTTTTTATTTAAAAATTAGTTAATTTAATCCTTACATTTTGAAAATTTGTACAATTTAATTCCTCTCTCTAACGTCAACGTGGTATTAATATGACATTGACATGTTAAATGATGGTGAAATGTCAAACCAAAAAATACCACATGGATTTTCTTTTTCTTTTCTTTTTCTGTTTGTGCAAAACTACGTTTATTTGCTATTTGTATTTAAAACATTTTTTATTAAAGTACCAAAATAGTCCTTATACCCATGTATTTTTATCAATTTAATTCATGTACTCAAAATTTGTTTAATTTAATTTCTCGATTTTGAGAATTGGTATAATTTAGTCCTTCTCTTACACCATCGATATTTATCGTTAGAGGTGATGGCGTTAACATTGATATAGCAAATTTGCTGACATGGCAATGCCATGACACTTTGATATGTCGATGTGACAATTCCATATGGTATTGACATGATGACGTGGAAGCTCGTAAAAAAATATTCAAAACAAAAATCTAAGCCACATTATAGAGATTAAATTAAACAAAAGTGTACAGTATAAGGATTAAATTAAATAAAATTGAGATGTTTTGAGATTAAATTGAATAAAAAAATTTGGAAGAATACAAATCTTTGAGTAGATGATAAATGTACTTATTGATTAATAAGTCAAATGTTTAAATATACAAGATTTATGGTGTTAAGAAATAAATATAAATATTTTCTTACTTGATTATTTGAATCCATAATAGATATAATAATTTATCTTCTTTACAAAAATTAAATTTGAACTCTCCTTTTATTAAAAACTTTCAATATTTGATGGAGTTACTTTTATAAATATCATGATTAAAATCATTATCACTTAAATTTTCCCTTTTCTTATTAAACTTGACATTATTTTTAATGAGATTATTTCATAACTCATTTATAAAAAAAACAAAAAGATTTAATTTCCTTTTTGAAAATATGTATGAAAACCAAAGTAAGCCCATTAAATGCTTTAATGACAAAATAATTTACCAAGTAATTATCTCATTTAACATTGTGATTTTGAGTACTTGACAAAATATTACTTTCCTTCTAAGATTAAAATTAAAATTGCCAAGAAATCATCTTTCTCTTTCTCTTTGTGTAATGGTGCCTCTGATTGAATGTTTAATATTAGCTGAACTGAATTATCATTCTTTCCTAGTCTTTACAAGTATTCTTCAGTGTCACTTTTTTTCTTTTACATTTTCCTTTAACTAGTCGGATATAGTGCTTATTTAGGAATGTTGATACAATTTACTACATTTAAAGATAATTGCATGTTTGTCTCAAAAGAAGTTCTAGAGGGGATGAATAGTACTTAAAATTATTTTTGAAAGTAGCTTTTGAAATTTAAAAACCGTTTGAAAGACTTAAAATGGATGGTTTGAAAACTTGTTGAAGTAAACACAGGTTAAGAGAAGTGGACCAAACATAATATTTATAATTATTCGGACTGTCCGACCTACATTCACTATCTTGATCTTCCTAATTAAGGATTTTCAACTCAACTTCATTAGAACTAGTGAAATTAACAATTTTCACCTAGCTTTTACAAGACGAACTTCTAACGCAAGCTACAACCCTTTTACAACAAGTCATAAGCTTCCCCGATCTTAGATTACCCTTAAAGTGTCTCACACACTCTAAGTAAATAGAAAATAGAAGATAAAAGAGATGTACAAATGATCACCTAACTGATCTAAGTTGTACAAATTTTGACTCAAACACTTTCACAAAGATAAGAGTGAAATACAAGTGTAAAAAAAAGTTTTTTTGTTTTCTAAGCTTAAAATCACTCTTAGTAACTTATTTATATCATTTTTAATTGTTAAAGAGGTTTTAAATACTTTAAAATTACTTTTGGCTGTTAGAGATAAAAACTAACTGTTACAAATAGTTTTTGACTGTTATTTGATTCTTTTGTGCTTAAATTCAAATGTGTAAATTAAATATATATCTATATATAGATATTTTAGTATTAACCATAAATTTGCAAATTGCAATCAAACATATATATATATATATGTATAAATGTAAAAATAACCAACCAGTCGTTGTTCACAATTTGTTTACCACAGCACATAAAGATAAACAACAAAAATATAACAACAGATCAACCACAAACATCCTATTTCTTCTCCTACCTTTCACAAACATCTTATTTTTTCTCCTACCTTTTCCCTTTTTGTGTCATCAACCAAAAAAGGTTCCTATTATATGTCTATTCCCTTAATCCAAGTATGTTGAAGACTCATTTATTGAGGATTCCTCAGTTCCTAAATGCATAGCTAAGGGCTTAACATGGATAAGGTTAAAGGATTCAGGTTCGGATAAGGTAGGTCAAGTTTAGGAGATATATATACTCTTTCAACTATTGTTTTCTTTACAGTAACTTCTGCTTTTGCAGATTCTTCCCTCACTAGTTTGTTAATAAAGTTAAAAAGGAAGATTTCTTCAGAGAAGCCTAAGGTTTCTACTACTGCTACTTTTGTGGCTTTAGAGGTGATGTTATCTTTCTCCCTTTGCTATGCTTCTGCTTCATTTTCTTCTTGTTTAGCTCCAGTTACTTTCTTTTGTTTAGCCACACCTTTCCTTTCTTGCTCTGTTTCGTTAGTAGTTTCCTTTTCTACTTCAGCTTCATCAGCTACCTTATCACCTTGCTTCTCATTTTCAAGCGCTAGTGCAGGAACCTCAAGTTGATTTATATCAACACTCTCCCTTTCAATTCCAACCTCAAGATCAAAAGCATGTACCTCAAATACCTCTATGGCAGTCCTCTCAGCTGCAGCTTTACTTTGGGAAGAGGTAGTTGCAGGAGTTTCAATATCCATGTCTTTTTCTTTTTCCTTGAGAAGAGAAGTCTTAATATTTTGAAACTTCTCTTCAATTCTCTTCTAATTTCCTGTCCCTTTTAACTTGTTTAGGCTATTTTCCATCAATCTTCATTAGTAGATTAAACATCATTTTATTTGAAATAAGAAGTTCATTTGCTTTTGAAGCGGGTGTTGAAGGAGTTTCAGCACTAGTTGTTATTGGTGTACCTTTAAGGAATTTAATGCACTCCTTACCTACCAACTTGTACCCCATCTTTGGCAAGCATCTTAAAAAGATCCCTGATGCTTGCTTTTAATCTAGTCTACTTGAAATCTAGTGCTCCAGATATTTTTCTTTATAACCAGAGAGGAAATTATATTTCCATAGGGTAGGTTAGTCTTATCTCCCAAACATGTTCCCTTCATTCTTTCGATTATAAATCTAGTTGCATTGGAGGGGATCTCATTGACAGCAATCTCCATTAACTGAAGACCTTGGGAGCTAACATAATTGTAGTTGCTGCTCATTTTATTTAGAGCAGATGCAATGAAGTAGTGGAAAGTTCTCATCTATGCATTTTTAATGTTTCTTGCATAACTCTTGCAAGGAAATTTCTCATTTCTACCAGTGACAGTTTCCTAAATGGGAGAGAGGTCAAATAAGAAGAATAAACTTGAATGAAATAGTAATAGAATTAGAAAGATGTAAAATGGGAAAAATCAAAAGATATACTTATGGAGAAATAGAATTAGAGATTTATTATAAAAAAATTCTAACTGGTGATTAAAAAGTGAGTTTTTATTTTTGACAAAATAAGGAAAAAAAAGGGAGAAAAGAAATAACAAAAGAAGAAAGTGAAGAAAGCTAGAGAAAAGTGCTGCAAAAAAATTTTGATTTTATTTTTGTTTTAATTTTTTGTTCTTAAGAGAAAGAGAGAGTTGGTTGTTGGTGGGCTTCTACAAGGAAAAAGAAAGAATAAGTTTTTTTTATGTATACTAATCCCAAAAGCTATATCGTTTTAAGAGTAGCAGAATAAATAACAAAAAAAAAATAACAATAAAGAAAAGAGAGGTCAATGAGAGAGGTAAAGAAACGAAAATCATATTAACAAGAAAACTAAAAGCGACGCCCAAAAATCTTAGCTAGAGGAAAGGAAATTTTGAATACCCAAACTAAAAGGAATGGGTTTTTCTCTTCTTCAAAGACTTTCACAGAGAGATGGGAAAGAAAAAAAAATGGCAACAAGGTAGATGAGAGAGTTGGGTAAGAGAAGAAAGATAATAGTAAGGCAAAAAAGAGAACAAAAACAAGAGAGAGGAAATAAAAAGTGAGGTTCCAACAATAAGAGAAGAAGATGAGGCAAGAAACAAAAAAGATGAGGACTACCAATCAATAGGTGACATTGATACCATGAAGAAAATTTAAGAATTTGGGAGAACAAACATAAGGCAAAGATGAAGGGTAAAAGAATAAGAAAAAGTGAATTGTGTAATTTTATTGTATTATTTTTCAGTGTGTTTTTTACATAAGTATTGCAAGGTATTTATATAGATAAGGTTCCAATGGTAACAACAAAATAAGGAAAACAAGATCAACGATTGATTACTGCTTGATGAATTGCCAACGATCCTTTTCTGAGATTTTATTGAGTTTTTTATTAAGATTTTGCACGTGTTTAGTTTCTATCTGTTGTTTTTGATTCAATGTTCTCTTGTTGTGGTACTTGCTGATTTTGTGTTAATGAGGATGAATTACTTCTATAATGGTGATTATGAATTTGTTTACAAGTTATGGGATCCAAAGAAGAAAAAGATTGTTAGGAGCAGAGATGTAGTTTTCATGAAAAAAAGACCTTAGCAGACTTTGATAAAAATGTGAAGATTGCACAAGTACTTTGCTTAAAAATGTGAAGATTGCAATTAAGTCTACAACATGAGTAATTTTCCAGGAAGTTAACAGAGCTGTTGCCTATGTTAACAGAGCTGGTTGTCTTGTAAGTCATGAAAAACTAGACTCTACCACTGCAGCAAAAATTCATATGTATTCAAAGGTCTTCATGGCATTAGCTTTCCCATAGTATCACTCACCCAAAAATTGAATTTCATGATCATGCATATTCTGCAAAAAGATCCAAGGAAAATTTTAGTGGAAAAGATTTGAGAATTCAAACCATTTTAGCAAGGTAGAGTTCACATTCCTGATTTCCAACAGATTTGCTATATAGGAAAGAAAATGCACAGAAACCACATCAAAGATTAAATGATAGATAGGAGGAATGCTTACGTCATCATTAGAAGGGACACTCCTGCATCTTGAAAAAATAAACGGCCGCTGAAATTAACAGGATGAGCAATGCCAAGGAAACATGCTTGAAGCTGAGCAATCTTGCATCTATTCTCCTCACGTTCTCGAACTCAGATGTGGCATCTGCAGGTTTCACTTCAGATTCACCAACAGATTCAGTAGTCTTGTCCAACTGTGAATAGCAAATCACACCAACAGTATTAGAAATTTACAACAATGTTTCCTTGCTAGCAATCATCCAAATTCGAAATCTCTGGAAAACACAGTACAAGTGAGGGAAAAAAATGGAAAGGAAACATTAAAAAAAAGGAAAAGGTATATGTTGATGCAGGACCACCACCTAAGGATTTTAGACAAACCTAACTATGGTAAAAGTTTTAGAAAAATAGGACTTTATCTAATTTTAGGTGGTCTTCACACAAGGGTTTTAGATAACTCATACAAATTTGTTATTTGAAGTGAAGACTATAGTCAATCAGTTTCTGGATTATTAAGATTGAAGTGAGACCATAGTCAATCAGTTTTTGGATTATTAAGAATCAAATATAGACTTGAGTTTTTCGCTCTTGTTCTAGCTTTCTTCTAGTCCCTGTCTCTTTTCCTCTCCTTTTGCTCTCTTTTTCTATTTTCTATTTCTTTAGCGTTTGGTGCATTTAAGATATCATTTATCCTTTGCAGCCATAATTTTGACTCCTTGACTACGAACCTAATATAATCTACAATAGATGAGATTCAAAAACAGAAAATACAAGGTGCTACAAGATTAGATATCAATGTAAAAAAACCCCTTCAAATGTAAGAGATTATTGTACTTTTTCATCCCAATTCTACGAAGGGGTTTTAACAAAATAAAATAATAGAAAAACAAAAAAACCACAGGGCTAGTCAAATTGCAATACCAATTAAGATTTCAGACTAAATGTAGCAAGAAGGCGAAGCAAGCAGGAAAGAGTGTCAAGTTTATGACAACTGGTGCAAAAGAATATATGAACATAAGAGCATACACATACAAAATGAGTGTATCCTAGCAGATAGCAAGGGAAATCCAAGGTAAACTGCTAAAGATACCATAGTCTAAATCAATGGAGAAATTATTTTGTCTCTCCAAATATAACCTTAAGATGTCATGATTTGCAATTATCAACAGGATCAAAGATCACAAAGAGAGATTAAGAAGCAGAGTGCCTATCAGTAATTTAACTCATCTTACACATGCTATCCCTACTTTCAAGAAATATTAAATTTCATTTACAGTTCCTTTATTCCATCAAGTTTGGGATACCCAAACCATCATCATTACCATTCATGGACAAATTTATTTCTCCAAGAGTCCAATGGCCACCAGACAATACAGTACATGGAAAAACCTCATAAGCCACCCAATACACATGGAATCTAGCAAACCAGGACAAGCGTCAGGCAAAGCAAACTGCAAGAGTAGGTAACAGTTCACTGTGCAACCAGCCAATCAAATAGCAATACCTCCAGATAACACAGCCTTTATGCCAGTCCTTTATTAACATATTCTTCAACTACATACAGTTCTCCTAAAATATAGTTGATTAAGAAGGCAGCTAGATGGCCACAAACTCAAATAATGTAACAACAGAAGACATATTTTGAAACATTATGTCTGAACAAAGTAACTTAGCCATCCAGATAAGTATTTTATAGCATGAAGCATAAAATCATCATCTATTCATGGGGAAGACATGTAAAACAAATGAAAAAGTTACTTCAATTACTAGAAATGCAACTCTATTTACTAACAAGAGAAATAAATTAGCAAACACCTACCTCAGAACCATCAGCTGACAACTTGGTTATTTCTTCGTTACTTTCTCTTGCAGAAGCAGTACTAGAGTCTTGCTTTGAAAACAAAAATTCCTTGACATTTCCCCTACTCTCATGGCTCCCAATAATAGATGGATCCTTGTCTGTTTGCTTCAACTTCACTACCAAAATTTTATTTTCCAGTGCTAGTGCAGATATCTGCTTAACAATATAGATTAGTTGGAAGCAGTGCTGATATAAATAAAAGTTGTCAGAAACCCATTCTATCTCCAGCAAAACATGTTTAAATCTTTACTTGGTACTATAAACTACCAAAGTAAAATATGGTTAAAAAGGACACTTGAACTGCCATTATATACCCTAAAATAAAGTTAACAGTAGGAAAGCCTGTGCTAATTAGAGTTAATGCAATTACAGGAATATATGAATCGCATCTTAGATTATTCAAAGAAGGGAAAATGCACATTGGTGAAATGCTTATTCACATGTCAGTTTCAATCCTTCAAAAGGTTAAACAATTTTCAAGAATTTTTAATTCAATTTTTGAATAACTTGCACATGCTTATGATACCAAATTGGGCCAATTGACAAGGTTTCATCAAAGTTTATGTAGAATAACCCAAAAAACTATTGAGTCTTTATTGTGTTGATTAAGGTGAACCAGTTAGAGAGTTATCAATACTTTTTGACAAAGGAATCAGTCATTTTCAATCTTAATATAAGCCCATATTTTTATTCATTATAATTTTCAACTTGTTTTTCTTTTTAACCCAATACAAGACCTCAAAAAAGGTGGAAAGTACATTATAGATGTAATCAATGGAATGGCAAACAGAGGGCATGTTTCAGTTACAAATCCATATTGAAAATGAAAACTGACAATGATAAATCACAGGTAAAGGAAGCCATACCTGCTGGTGAAGGCGCTCTCTTTCCACAGCTAGTTGCATGAGCAAATTTGCTATCAGTTTGGTACGAATGCCAATGTCCTTTGCAGTCGCCATTTTTATTTCCTCAGCTTGATTTAAAGATGCCTCCAAGCAATCTAGTCTACCCCTCAAAAAGCTCAGTTCTTCACTTAGCTCAGCATTAGTCTCAGATAATATGATACACTTATCTTCTGCACTATCAGCTCGATTATCAGCTTTTGAAAGCTTCAATTTTAGACCCTCAATTAAATTTTCCATATCTCCAATTGTAGTATACAACATATTTTCCTTCTCCTGACTAGCTTCAGCAGAAGCCACAGCATTTAATAACCGAATCTCAGATTCCTTCAATTGTCTCTCAAGTGCTTCAACCTTTTCAGAAGTTATATTATGGCTTTTAAGAAGACCCAGCTCTTCATTAAGTTCCATGTTCGTCTCACCTAGTAATTTGCATTTGGCTTCAGCATTGTCTGCTCTATCTTCTGCTTTAGATAATTTATCTTTCAAATCGTCAATAACATTTTCTAATTCATTGATCTCAGAACGTAAAACATCACACCATTCACGACTTTTATCGGCAGAGGCTTTTGCACTTAACAAGTTAAACTCAGATTCTTTATGTTGCTTCTCTAATAAATCTACTTTCTCACGCAAAGTGAATGCCTCAGAATTGGCAAGAATGAACTTATTTTCAGCTTCCGTCAACTTTGCTTTTAGGTTGTCTGTCTGTGCTAGAAGGAAGTCATTGACTCTGGTTCCACCACTTTCAAGCTTCTGCAATGCACTTTCTTTGGCTTCCAACTTCTCTTCAGAATCTTCAAGCTTCAACCTTAGCTCAGTTTCTCGATGAGTTGAACTATTCAAATTAAACTGGACGATTTGAAGTCGACCCAGTAGCTCTTTTGAGATCCCCTTCAACACTGCCGCTGCATTATCTGCTTCAAACAACCTTTCACTAACATCCACTGCCTCTTCCTCAAGGCAGGTCATCCCATGTTCTAAAGAGAGTAGCCTCGGTTTCATCTCCTCCTCAATTTGCCTTGATTCTGCTAACTTCTTTTCCAAATCAATTTCCCTAGCCAAAGATTTCTCTAGCATCCTCAAAATATGCCTTTGCTGTTCAATAGTTTGCATTTTTATCTTTGCATTATTATTAGACGATTGATCAGCTTCTGAGACATTCACACCTTTTACATCATTCCCTGCTAATATGCATGCATTAGAAGGAGACATAAAAGTAAATTTTTTTTTTATTTATTCCTTGTCTTTTCGCTTAAATGAGGAAAAAAAAAGATTCATAAAAAAAATTTACTTTATTTCAGGCAGGTTTAACAAGAACCAGCAAATTTGGCTAGACAATATATAAAATTGCTCTAAAAGCATTCAGTTACCACATAAAGACAACTATAAGTCATAGTATCAATAACATTTTCACTACTCCTTTACATTGGTATATTGGACATGCAAGTGCAGAAACAAACACATCTAATCCATGTTATAAACTTCTAAAGCAACTGCCAATCATTTATTCTTCAATTACATAGAAGCCCAAAACATAAAAACAAAACAAAATTAGTAAGAGGTCTGTAGCTTACAATTTTCATTTCCATGAAGACATGACAAAATCCTTTGGAAATCAGCAGCTTGCATCTTTATTTCGGAGACTTGATCTTGTGACTGCTTTAATGATTCTTCATAACCATGCAACTTTTCCTCCATTTTGAAGAAAGTTTCTCCCAAGTACTTAAATGAAGATATAGTCTCACACGCACCAATAATATCAGTTTCAATACTCTCCATAAACTTATCCAGTTCTCTAGCCTCTGAATCTAATATCCCAGATAAGAGATCAAATTCCAGAGCCTTCTCAACCAAATCTACTAGCATAAAATTTTTCTCTGACATAAACGATTCAAAGTCAGTTTCTCTAGTAGCCACATGCATTGTAAGTATACTTAAGTTAACCAATTTCTCTGAAGAACATGCTAAATCTAATTCTAATCTTGTTAGAATATCGCTAGCCCTTCCTAATTCTCCGTTCACCTCCCCACCAGATGAAATCCCATCAAGTATGTCAGCTCTATTTGATCCTGCCTCCGGTTCCATACTATTGAAATCATCACCAGATACACCTTCTTCATGAATGACATCAGCATCCATTTGAATGGTGTGTCAGCTGCTCTAACTCAAAACAAAAAATCAGTAAGTAAAATAAAAAAATTGGTTAGAGCAAGTCATGAGAGATAAGTAAACTAGGGTCTCTATTAAATAATATCATGGGATGATTTCATTCCATTTTCAAAGCTCATAATTGAATTCCAGGATTAACCCAAAGCAGTCCATTTTGTCTCTCAAGTTTTCATGCACATATGTGCAGTCTATTTAGTGCGCTATTTACAATTTCACATAATTTTATCACATAACAACTTTATGGATACACAACTCTTCACCAAGGCACTTAAGTACTATACAAATATATTCTCAAGATATAATTCTTTCCAACCGGGATCTTCATTTTAAGATTTCTTTTTGTTCACTTAATTGCAGCCACTGAAAAAACTGAATATAAGAAATGAATAAATTAAAGGTAATTCTAAAAAAAAAAAGACTCTTAAACCGTGATCAATTTACCCCCAAGCAAATTCATTTTCCAATAAATGAAACCAATTTCTCTCATAATCTATAATTATCATGACTAAGCCAAAAAGAACAAAAGCCCACCTCCAGATTTTCCATATATTAATCAAAAAACGACTCTTTTAAGAACTGGGTCAATAACCTAAAATACCCATCTTACATATTCAAACAATCTTCCAAAAATAAGAAAAGAACAGTGGAAAAAATATTATTTTCTGTTAGTTTCTCAAGAAACCCAAGTCAAGTAAAGCAGAGAAATGGGAAATATTAATACCTTACGGCAAGTTGCAGGGTGTTGAGCCTTGACAGAGGTGTAGAGAAAAAACAAGAAGAAGAAAGAAACGAAGAGAAGATTTGTGCCGAATAACACTGAGATTAATAAGAATTAAGAAAGACAAGAGGTTAAACTTTAATATTTTCAACAATAAAGTGAGTGAGTGAGTGACACATGTCAACGTTAGCTTTGCTCTGCTCGTGCACGATACGAGGAATGCGTTGCTATGTGTCACCGCGATGGACATGTTTGGATTCGGGTTCGGTTTCAGGTTTGTCCTGTTTAGGCTGAAAAACGGTTTTTTTTATTTACAAATAATGAAAATCAATTGATTTATAAAAATATATTTAAATATTTAATTGAATACTTGGTGCATAATTTTTTATTAAAAATTAATTTAAATTTTTCTTCTCAAAATAAAAATATATATATCAAAAGAATTTATATATATATATAAATATATAAATGTCTAACAAGAGAGAATGGATTCAAATATTAGATCTTAATTTTCTCAAAAGTAAAACAATTTACACCATTGATTTATAAAAATTGAGCTGGTATCGAGATTTGGAGAAATGTTGTCAAAATTAATTTTTTATAATGCATTTTCCATCATTATAATTAAATTAAATTATATAAATCATAATTATAAAATGATTTATTGATTTTGAAAGTTTTATATACCTATTATTGCTTTTCAAACAAATACAAATCAAAATTGTTACAACATAAAATTGGTTACTTTATCGAATTGTTTGTATTTAATATGCTTTCAGAATTAAATTCATTAGTTTTTATGATTTTATCTAAGTAAATAATAATTATTATTCTGCAAAAATATTTATTTTAATTTTTTTAAAATTTTATCTTTATTTATTTATGAGATGACATTTTATAATTAATTGATAGGATGCTATACACTTTCAATATATCAAATATAAAATATCGCTTAATCACAAAGTATTTATATTCGATACATTTCAATGTATAGTATCTATACATTATCGCAAAATCATAGTGTCACCTCATATGTATACAAAAAAAAAAGTTTAAAATTCTCTCAAAATAAGTGTTTTTTAAATTATAAGTATTTATTTTTTAAAATTCTTAGTTTTTAAATATATTTATTAATAAAATGATAATATTTTATTCATTGATAATATATAGGTACTGTACACTGGCTTAACAAAAAAAAAACCTATACACTAAACAGTACATTAAAAACTCAATTTATTATTAGAGAATATTTATTCGGCTCTCCCAAAATGAACCGTTGGATTCGCCATTGCAACTAGACTTTTTTTTATTGAAAAAAGAAAAGTAAATTTTCTTAAAAAGTGAAGGGAAAATACTTAGAAAAAAAAGTTAATGGAAGTAATTAAAACAACCCAACATGTTAAATATAGAGTGTAAATTGATAGTTCATAGATATTATACATTAACAATTACAAATTAAATTACAATATACAAATAAGTAGTTGGAAATTTTCAAATTAAAAAAATGTAGAATATAGAGTGTGAAAAACAAGGTTTAATTAAAAAAATGAAAAAGATCAAAAAACTTGAGTGCAAAAATCTGAAGGTAATTTGGTTTTGGAAAATATTCACATTGGGGTGAGCAGAAATCGATCAAAATTGAAGTAATTAAATTAATTGAAAAAATTCAATTAATTTGGTTAAATCAATTAGAAAGTTCAGTGAAGTCATTTTTATCGATTTGGTTAAAAAAATTTAAAATCGATTGACCAAATTAATCCATTTTGAAAATAGGATATTTTAAGGGTTTTTATTACATATATATATATATGAATAAAATGCTTGATTTACATTCGAGCATTCGGCTCATTGGTTGATGCATGATCTCTTACATAAAGAGTAAAGTTAGAATCTTTTTTTTCCAAATCCAAAAAAATAAAAAATAAAATAAAATATTAAATTTAATTATCTAGAAAGATTTTCTTACATGTATTCATTCATATAATTTTTTCTATACTTATGTATAAATAAATGACTTAGATTTAATCATCAAGTATCAAAGAATAAAAATTAAAATACACTCTATTTAGATATTAATATTATTAATATAAATATAATCATTTAAAAATTTATATAAAATTAAGCATAATGCAAATTACACAGTAGCTAAGAAGTCACATAATATATCTACCATATTAGTATGTACTGGCAAGTGGCTGTTTTGTCGAGAGTTGGAATTTTAGTATTTGGTTTGTTGGTTCTTAGGAGGATAATATTTGGTTTAGTTTACTATTTGTTTTTATTACCTAAAAGTACTTCTAGATATAAGGTTAGATTTTATTATCAAAAATTTGAAAATTTTTTTGTTCATACACAATTTTTCAAGAAATAAATTAAGTAGATTCCGAAATTAGGAGTCAAAAAACTCCTATGTGCATCAAGCACACATCCACTAATACTAAAAGTAGATTCCAAAGGAACCGTTGATATGGAAACAGTCAAAACATCATGAGAAATAGTGACAAGTATAGGAAACCTAAATTGATTGAGTTTCCATCACATGAGAACATCAAACTCATCATCATCGAAACTTTACATCCATAGGCTCAAATAAATATTTCTCTAATTCTGTTTTCAACTCTTTTAATCTAGTGTTTAATTGATGCTTCTTAATCTTATCTAATCTTTTTTTAGTACGTTATGTCTCTTTGCCAATCAAAATTAAAGCAACACTATCACTACAACCACCATTAGTGCCTTATCCCATAGACGTTGGACACTCTTAACCATTTTCACTAAGGTTGTAACATATTTTTATAACAACAAAATAACTCATTCATTGTTTGTGTTACCAAAAAAAACATCATTGAAGCTTGTGTAAGAGGATACACTTCTAGCAAAGTGAACTCAACATAAGAAAACTTTTTCCTCGGATCAAGTATAACGGCAATGAATAACACCAAATTCATTTTGTCCAAATTTTTCCAATACTTGTCAAATTTCTCTTTTATCTTAATTTCCATAAATTGTAAATAAACTTCATTTCCATTTTGCCATTCAATTAAAATGGTTTACATAGCAGAAATGGAATCCAAGAAAGAATTAGCAGTTATGTAAGACATGCCTAAAACACTCAAGTTCAAACCATAAAATTCTCTCAAGAAATGAGAAATCCTCATAACATTTGCTCAATCTCTATCATCGGGCACCCCATCTCCTAATCTTATTAACGTAAGTACGTAGCTATTATCACATAACTCAAATGATGCAAAAACTCTCTGAAATTTCAAAACTGTATCTAACATAAAAAAAAAATATAGTTCCATCTAGTACTCACATCCAAATACAATAAACACTTGCTTTCAACTCTCGTACTAACAGCATACTCCTTGAACTTGGCTAATCTAGTAGGGGATTATCAACATATCTCGCTACCCCTCTAACATGAGCAATTGAAGTATTGATATTATTTAATCCATCAGACTCCACAAGATTAACAGTTTGAGAAATGCATCTCACATGGAAAAATCTACCTCCTAAAATACTTGTTCCAACAACATTAAATTTTTTCTTCAAATGTCTTATTACAACATCATTTGAACTAACATTATCAATAGTGATAGAAAAAATCTTTTGGATCTCCCAATCAAGTAAACATTTACTAATTGCCTTCCCAATGGCCTTACCTTTATGACTAATAATGGGAAAAAAATCTCAAAATCCTTTTTTGCAACTTCCCACCATTATCAATAAAGTTGGCAATTAGACACATATAATTAATTTTTTGTACCAAAGTCCATGTGTTAGTGGTAAGACACATTCTCCCAAGACATAATCTTAAAAATCTTTTTATTCGAGTTTTTTATCAGTATAAACTTTATAACAATCGCTAGCAATAATCCATTGTGATGGTATATGAAATCTAGGATATGCTTTGTTTATGCGTTTCCTATATCCTGGATTTTTCACAAATCTAAAAGGTAATTCATCTAAAATGATAATCTCGGTTAAATTCCTCCTAATTGCCTTTTGCACAAACTTCCAACTACCCAACCCATCTCTTCTCGAAGTAAAAACTAATTTCATTTGCTTGTTCTCCTCACTAGTACAGATCAATTTCAACTTTAGACAAACTTTAATATGATTATTCAATGAAGATGTTTTTTTTTTGTATTAGCACACAATTCTTTACCATATGAATACATGTAGCTTTCTTTTTACCTTTCTTATCAACAAATTTAGTGAAGTGATCCCACATAATCGATGTAGATTGAGGTGGTTCCCTTTACTTCTACACTTTGCTTGCAACTTCACATGTTTTGTTAGCTTTAGTAGAATTAATAGTGGCATGGGGAGTAGATGTTGATGGTGTTGATGTTGATGTCTCAATAGTTACCAAATTTATTTCCTCATTAGTTGACATCTACAACAAAAAATAATACCCAAATATTTATTTTAATTATTAATTCTAGCATATTGCCAATCATTTTAATTGAATATCCAAACAATAATTCTAAACATTAATTCCAAAATATAATTCTTAATGTTTAATTACAGCATATTGCTAATCATTTTAATTGAATATCCAGATAATAATTCTAAACTTTAATTCCCAAACATAATTCTTAATGTTTAATTTTAGCATATTGCCAATCATTTTAATTGAATATCCAAACAATAATTCTAAACATTAATTTCCAAACATAATTCTTAATGTTTAATTCTAGCATATTGCTAATCATTTTAATTAAATATCCCAACAATAATTTTAAACATTAAGCTCTTTGAAATGTTTAATGTCAATTAAGGTTGAAGTAATCTATGGCTGAAAAAAAAATTAATTCCTAAACATTAAAAACCAAACATATCATTTTTTTCCTAATCCCTTGGAATTATTTTTTTTACAAGCAAAAAACAATAGTTGAATCTCATAATCATTAGCATATTTCCCATTTGGCATGAGTTCTAACCAAAAACGTGATACTCATAATCTCCTAACTTCTCTCTTTCTTGCTATCTTCACAAAGCTAGTGGCCAAGAAAAAAAAATCAAACATATTTTTCATTGGGTTTACCTTACTGCCAAGAAAGGCAAGTAACAGTTGCTGGCAACAGTCTAGAGCGACGCCAATAATAGCAAACGGAAGGGGTTGGTTAGTTGTTGATTAAGAGAGTTA